GATTATGCAGACAAAGAGAAAGTTGGAGGATTACTTACAATAAATTCACAGCCAATAATCCATCACAAACAAAATATATACCGCATATGCCCAGATCCTTAGGGTTTTAGGGATTTAAATTTCTATTACCAAGGTGATTTTATTTCTCTTTAATTCAGATGTTCCAGAATCATTAAGATCACAAACACGCATCTCTTTCTACATAGACAGAAAAAAAACCATACAAATATACATTCCGAATACTGCTAGCAGTTCTGAGTACTGCTGAACATACATTCCATTCCAAACAAAATCCGTTGCCATATTAATACTACCCTGAAATCTTCCAGCGCACTCTCTCTCCCCCCCTCCCCCCCTCATAAAAGTCTAATGATTGTGGAATTATAAATTAGAGTATGTAACTGGATTATCTTTTAAAGTTTCATATTAGCTGCAAATTAGAAACAACTAGCATCATCGCAGTTTCTGTTAGTTCATTTGGCTACAATGATTACACTGCTCTTGAAATTGGGAAGCCTATATTATCCTAGAGCTATGGATCTGAAATGTGTCTTTAAAAGTTAAAATGGTCCAGATTAATGCCTCTAGCAGGGAAGGACTATATAAACATTCATATCCAATATTCTAATAGTATGTATGGATCTTGATGTTGTCATAAGGAGGTTTACACGGAACGTAGCATTGAGATGGAAGTCCCTAATAAGAGAAAATACACCAAAACAACCCACAGTTAAGTAAGAAGTGAAAAGATTCAGGGAATAAAACATACCAGCCAACTTGAGGGAAATTGAAAACCTGGGAAGAGAGGAATGAAATGGAATAACTTACAGGATGACATGATTAATCTGAACATATTTATCATTTAATCACTGCCTATTTTATTTCCAATGAAATGCTTGTGGGTGCATCTCTTCCTAATTCCTGTGCTCTGCCTTGTTTCAGCAAGAAGGATATTAATTATGCACCAGAAACATTTAATAGTCTAAACTAAACAAACAACAGGATGTGGAATGTATTTGTTTCTTAAAGCTGCCCACCCAGTAATAGAGTCAACTCCCTTCAACTTTTCCTGAAAGGTGAGGTGAGAGATTTGTCTTGCTGACCTTTGAATGCACATACTTTAATTTCTGCTGCTTTCTAGAATTTCTTTGCTGTGTCAAATGCACCCTATCTATCAGGCCTGAATCCTGCCTTGAATCTCAGGCAGCTCACATTGGAAAGCAGCAAACGTAGCTGCTGCATTTACATGTGCTTCAGAGTCACTGGTCAAACTGAGACTGTTACTCTCAACTTAAGTTGGGCCATGTTAATGCAGAGGGATTTACAAGATGCTAATTGATTACTCTGATTTTTTTTCCTACTCCTCTTGGGTTTGGTTTTGTTTTTTAAAAAACCTTGACACACTTCGCTTTGATGGATCATATAATTGAAGTTATTTCCAATTCTCAGCTCAATGAAAACATTATTTCCCAAAAATATTAACTTAAATCCTGCAAATCATTCACTGTTGCTCCCCCATTGCCAGATCTTCTTCATTAGTATTTCTACAAAGAAGGAAGCATAAAGGATCATAGTCATCTATATTTTTGGAAATGTTCCCAAATGGTTGACAACTCTTTATTCATTCTTTGCCCTACACTGACATGGATATTTATGGTCCTCTCTAATTTAGGCCAAGCGCTTGACTCCAGGATCTCTTCCATACACAAAGCCTGTTCCAGTTTAAGTTCAGAATCATCCCCCCTTCCTACA